TCCATGTTGTCGGGTTCTCCAAACAGCCATGTTGAATAGTGCTGCATGTCATGCATGAGGCTACATGAAATATGGAGTACTCCTCCTTGCGCGGGTTAAAACGCGAGGAGCGCATCCTTTTGGAGAATCAAAACATGGAGGCAAACCAGAAAATCCCGAATGCCTCTGCAGAGTCCACACTTCATCTCCTCTAGTCCACATGCATGGCCACAGGTGAAGGAATGCAAGATACTTCAAGCCTTTCAAAAGACGACAGGAATACGACAAATTACCTTCCTTCGCAGGTGTCACCCAACACGTGTGAAGGCGGCAGCCAAATCCAGCCACGTTTCTGCCCGGTCGGCGTTCATAAAACAGACGCTCGGCTTGATTACGCCTGTCCTTTGCCGCAATTCCAATACTGTCAAGTTGGAAGGGGGGTTGTTGCTCTTCACTTGGCAGCAAGTCCGAGCTGATGCTTGTTCTAGAATGTCGGGACCTTGTTACCTCTGGGAACCACGAAGCACATGGCCAGTGGCGGTGGTATGCCTACCCAAGTGCCTACTTAGGTATCTAGGTACCTAGGCAGAGAATAATAAGGGGGCGTCGCCACCCGTCCAACTTGACGACCTCGTCTAGCTCCAGCCTTCAAATCGTGGTTCTGGGAGACTCCAACGTTGCCTATCTAATGGCGGAGATGGAATCTAATTACGGCACTCTTCCGTAGCGACCCAGGGCACTGGACCAGAACTGGGAGCCGTTTAAGCCGATCCAACTGATGGAAAGCCTGGTCGCCAAGGGTCCAAAGAGATTTCCACGTCAAAATCTGCCCCCTGCAAACATGCGGCGTAACGACCCCCTGGCAGATTTTGGCCCACGACTGCAGGCGAGAGCTGCTAGGAAGTACTGATCCGTCTCCGTACTAGAGGTACGTAGTGACTGAGTTCCCGGGTTTCTGCGCATCCTTGCAGTGCCACTGCCACCCTACCTATTAGTTGGCCACGGCGGACAACAACATTTGGTATTACGCCATATTTGCATCCGCATTCTACCACCTATGGCTATGGCAAGCTTGGGCCAGTACTGTCAAAGTTGTTCGCCTCTGAGTCTTATTGTGCATTCGCAGATTGTCCGTTGCCAGATCACGGTTCAATGTCGGGGCCGTTGCCGAATTCCCGGTGACTCAAGCGGACATATGTGCAAACAGAAGCCAGGGGTACCAGGAAGTACCGCTTGGCGATTCCGTTTTTGTTCGAGGCACACCGGTGTCTTCTTGGGCTAGTCAACAGCCTAGTCATCTCGGCTGTTCGCAGTTGGGAAATCCGGCTCTTGCTCTCGTTACCTCTTCTCGTTTACGACCAGACTGGACGGCATCGGAGATTCACGCTAACAGTTGAACAGGCTCGCCAGATGGGACTTTAACTAGACGATGGGCTAGACTGCTTTGACCACGGCGCGCATACGTACCTAGCAAGCAAATTTTGGTCCAGGAATATTCGCGACTGTCTAGGCCACAGAGTGACTGGATCTGATGACTGAAAGAAAACTACGTAGCTGTCTCGGACGGAGGCGTTGGTGTTCAAGGGTCTAGCAGACCCTCGTGGTCACGCTGAGATACTCGTAATGCGGCTCAGCAAGACATCGCTTGAGGGACATGCCATCTCCCAAAGGTGGCCTTGTCCCTTGTCGCGACTACGTCACGCGGGGCTTGCATGATTTCCGTCTACTTACCGCTCCGGATTCCTCACCGAAGGCAATCATATGCATCCGTGTCATGTGCTAGAGCTGCATGCTCGTTCCATGGCTCATTTGACGAAACTGCGCAAACCATTGCGCCCGATGCACAAGGGCAGCTTCAACATAAGCGCCCTTTCTGGAGGTTCAGCGTTGGATCAAGTTCCAGTCTGGGACATGTGACGTCTAGCTGTTTAAGTTGGGCAGCGGATTGGGCGCCTGCGATGTTGCTTCCCACTCGCCATGAGCGGATCTCTGCTGGTCCTGACTTTTCGATTTGCTACGTTGTCAGTTGCGCAGCCGAAAAAAAAAACAGGAAAAGCAACTTGACGACATCGTTACAATACTGCCCGCAGATGACCGTCGGGACGCCACGTTACAATTGAATGCTGCGACTACTGGACTCAACAAGTTACAAAATGCCATTTCATTTGCAGGGCGGCTTTGATTTCTTCTGGAGAAACAAAAAATTAAAAAAAAAATAAAAAAAATTCACACACCCGCACGCACGCACAAAACCACACAGTTGTATCAACTGGCAATTTTAGGTTGTGGCACTGCAAGCCTCGATACCTCGGTCATGGCTGGTTTTCTTTTTCGACCCGTTGACGTAGGAGAGTACAAAGACACGCGACGAGCTGTATGTATGTGCGGCATGCCCCTCCGCTGACCCATCGGGTGTGCCGTGTTATACATCCGTTCCAAGAACGAGTTCCAAAACAAGTGAAGAAAAAGAAACTTGACAGAAGCAAGCACACGCTACCAGCAGTGTGGTGTGGCTCAACAGTCTCAGACACCATCCACCCAGCCAGCCCTGGAGAACTCCCGCTAACAGACATAGACCTTCTTCCTTCTCCCACCCCAGTCTCGACTACGGAGTACAGGCTACGGAGTACGGAGTACTACTCCGCAAGATGTCAAGAGCGGCTGTGATGCTATGCAGCTCAGCAGCGGTGCCAACTTTCTTGACAAATCCCGGGGCCACGGGCGGTGTCGCCAACCGGTCACCAGATATCCCTCTGGAACACCCTGAACAGGGAGTCGGCCTCGTGTTACTTGGGCTAAAAGTGGCGGAGGGGCTTGTTGTACAATACTCACTCCCAAAGTCCATGCTGAAGATGTCGCCGGCCGCCAATCATGTCATGGCACAGCACAGGACGATCACGGTATCAGAGCTTTACAATACGGGGGGGTACAGAGTGCTTTATACGTGCTTTGGCAAGCGAAGCAAATCCGAAAGGGGCAACCAGATATCCGGAGAAAACGACCGTGCGCCGGGCACAAACACAATATACAAAGTACCGATGGTCTTGTCCGCCGGGAGGCAGCATTTCAAGCTCGAGACGATGAGGAAATATAAGCGCTCGGCCCGGGTTCCCTTGGGTCGTGGGCAGCCTCGGGCTGACTGGCTCGTCACCGCCATGGCTGTCGACGCTCTCCACCTCTGGGTCATCTCATTATCCCGGCCTTGGTGTAGAGTACTTTTTGATGTGATGATTACAGTAGCTCGGAAGGGCTGGGCCACAGAAGTAACATTGAACAACGCTTGACCCGACGAGAAGGAAAGCAGAGGAGAGGTTCAGACTCTGACGGAGGGAGTGCTGCTACTTTGCAGGTACTCATTGCCTTGTGTAGCCTCTGGCGAGCTTGGGCCTTGCTGGCCGGTTCAATGGTTCAAGCAGGGAGTATTTCCGGGGTACATACCGGAGACTGGACAAAGCGGCATGGAACGTTGTGTTCTGTCTGAATCTTCAGACTCGAGAGCCAGTCGACGCTCCCCAGCGGCTTTTGGACAGGGGCCACATATCGGCCCAGGTTCCTTCTGTCTTGCTCGTCCCTGCAAGCTTAAGAGCGCAGCCAGCACGGAGTACGGAGCATCACAGACTATTATCGTCGAGCCCTAGCTACCTAGGTACCTACCTAAGCTTGCTGGGCTGCTCGGCATGGAGTGAGCACCTTGGCTAGGCACTTTTCTCACCTAGCACCCCGGGCATGTACATGATACGCTACATACGGTTGAGGGAGTACGAGTACGCAGCACGATAAAGTCATACCAGTCGACTCGATCTGCCCGCCACCTCATCAAGCTGATCGCTTCATATTGCATTGGGTCAAGACTCAAAGGGCTAGACACGAGCCCGGCTACATGTACACCCACCCCTCCCCTGCATCCACGGCTAGCTAGCTGGGTCTGGACATGGCTGGGGGAGCTTTGTATGTACGTAGGTACATGGAAAAGGGCTCAAGGTCTCGAGGGCTCGAGGGCTCCACGCACGGCCCAATGCTGTGTGTCCCCGTCGTCGTATTGGCTGGACGCTTCGCCGCATCACTCTACGGAGTACCACGACGACTATTACCCAGGTAGGTTGTGTGTGTGTATGTATGTACGTGTGTATGTACAATTCTTTGTTTAGTGTTGGATGGGACAGCTTGGAGGGGACATCCATCAGAGCCTCTTTGCCCGACGTCTTCTCTGCTCTGCTCATTGCACGTTTGCTTTCTCTGGCTCATGTCACCGCCCATTCGAACTGATCCGGTGCCAAACTTGGCCCAGCCCAATGGGTACTGAAATGGGCCTCGTTCGCTTATTATTCCAGAGAGGGGCCCCGGGGGGGCCTTGCTCGCACGCTTGCACCATCTTTTGTTTCTTGCTGTCGAGAGAAGACTGGATGGAGTCTTGAGCCGACTTCGACTAGGAAACTTTTAATATGTCTCGTGTATCCACTCCCGCTCGTCCGCAGCATCTTGCCTCTTCTCCCTCGCACTCCTTTCAGAGGCCGTGGTGTTCCTGGCTTCATATTCTTCCGAGTACTTACTAGCATAGCTAGCCGGCCGTCCTTGTATAACGTTCCCTTGTTATCTCATATTGAACAGAGAACTTTATCTAGGTTCTTGTCTTCCAACTACTGGTCGTTTCGACCTTGGCCTCCACAGTCGGCGCACAACATAAGTCGGCCTACAAGTTACAACCAAGATCGTTACATTGGATCCAAACTTGCCTGTTCGGGAACGAGAGAGAGCACAGCACAGCTCAGCACAGCTCAGCTCAGCTCAGCTCAGTCCGTCGGCGCACTCGGTTGGAGCAATTTCATCATCGATCACTAAGAAACCGGCCCCAGTGCAACTCTTATTCAGTCACTGATACTATTATACAACCACCCGCGGCAAAGTTTGCGGCTCTACTATTCGCCATATAACACGGAACTCGCTTTGCCCACCACGACGGGCTCCATCATCATCTTGACCCTTTACCCGAGACTCCAGAGACTCGACTTTCTCAAGAAGCCATGGCGAGGAGGCAACAGCCTGCCGCGGCAGATGGCAGTAAGAAGCATGGCAAGGCGACGCCTCCATTTCCTGCTAAGCAGATGTTTGTGTTAGGTATGAGAGATTGCGGTCACCGCGTACCGAACGTGTTCATGTCCCCTACTGATGCGCGCGCTGCGCTCCAACAGCGTGTTGCAGGATATGCGAGCCAATTGCATTCATGTCCATATTTCCTTATATCTACTACATGATTCAAGACTTCCACGTCACGGATGATGCCAGCAAGATTTCGGTATACGCGGGAATGGTCACCTCAGCCTTCACCTTGGCCGAGTTTGCGACCGGAGTCTTCTGGGGAAGGCTGAGTGACAAGATTGGGCGGAAACCCGTTTTGCTGTGTGGTCTGCTGGGAACGGCTCTGAGCGTCCTGGTTTTTGGCTTCGCGCCCAATCTACCCGTGGCTCTCTTTGCTCGAGCCCTTGGCGGGCTTCTGAATGGGTGAGTCGCGCCGCGGTCCCTGTCCGACTCCTGGCCTGCTGCTGACATGACGTTGCCGCCGTCGAAGAAATATTGGCGTCTTGCAAACGACCGTTGCCGAACTCGTCACGGTCAAGGAACACCAGCGTATGTTGAGAGATTCGATCAGGGTGTGACGCGGGCGCTAACGAGAAGCACATTACACAGCCCGGGCGTACACCATCATGCCAATGGTCTGGTGCATTGGGTGAGTAGGCAGATGGCCACGAGTTTGATGTCCATGTCGACGCCGCAAAAGCGAGTTTCTGATGTTGATGAATTCCAGCTCAATCATTGGTCCAATGGTTGGCGGTGCCCTCGCCCGTCCTTGCATCAGCTACCCGGGCATATTCCACCCGGGCACCATCTGGGATAGCTATCCATACCTCCTCCCCAACCTCTTCAGCGCTGCCGCCGTCTTTGTCGGAGTTGTCATCGGCTTCTTGTTCTTGGAGGAAACGCATGCGGTAAAGAAGTGGCAACGAGACGCCGGGCGCGAGCTGGGTGACCGGCTCCTTGACCTGGTCGGCAAAGTGCCCCTTTGCCCACGACTGGGCCGGCCGGCCGAGAAGAAAAGCCTCCTGGCTGAACGCGGTTTGACGGGATATCGCGCTGCGAACTCGAGAGGCGCCGGCTTGCCGGACGCGGATGAACCTTTGCCAGTATATCACAGCAGAGAGTCTTCACCGAATCTGGCGCCCCGGGCAGATGCAGACCCCGGCATTGCCCCTGGCTCTGGCCGGCGAGAATCGGGGGATAAGCCGTTGAGGATATTCACCAAGCCCGTCATTATGAACATCATGTCGTATGGCATTCTTGCATTGTGAGTCGGCTTCGCTCCTTGTTGGCCCGCCGTTACGTTGCTCACTCATTTTGCAGCCACACAATGACTTTTGATCAGCTCTTCCCAGTCTTTCTGAGCACAGAGACTCCAATAGACGGGCCAAAGATAGAGCTCCCCTTCAAGTTTGTAAGCGGCTTTGGCCTCGATACCAAGACTATAGGCGTCATTATGTCGGTTCAAGGCTTGTATTCGCTCTTCTCCAACTACGTAATCGTAGCCGCAGTCACGACCCGGCTCGGTTCCCTTCGGCTATTCCGAATTCTGGCCTTTTCTTACTTCGCCTTATACCTCGTTACACCTTACCTCGTCTTGCTTCCACAACATCTTAGCATGCCCGCCATCTACATCGTGGTCATCTGGAAATGTACTTACGCAACCATGGCCTACCCAAACAACGCTATTCTGCTGGCAAATTCGGCACCAACGAAGAAAGTTCTAGGCACTATCAATGGCGTAGCAGCCTCTACGGCCAGCCTTTGCAGAGCCCTCGGGCCAACAGTCTCCGGGTTCTTGTATGCTGCCGGACTACATACTGGCTACTCTGGCTTGGCCTGGTGGTTCAGCGGAGTCGTGACTTTGCTTGGAGCTTATCTGAGCTCGCAAATCTCTGAGAATGGACCGCAGATTACAGAATTAGGAAATGATGATCCTCTCCTGGACGAATGATTGCTCGATGATTACGACCACCACGACGTCTGACGTCTCTTTCTGAGATAGGTCTGTCTGCTGTGCATTCTTGGCCGCCTTTATTTTCTTCCTTACTTTCCCCTCATTTTCACTTGGCTCTGTTGTGATGAGTCTGGTTACCTTTTCTGTACACGGAGAGTGTCTTGAACTCGCAATATTTGGACAACTACCCGTATACCCCACCCATTCTAGCATTTTGCTCTTTCTCTTGGTTACATGTTCCCTTGTCGTCTATGTCAAAAGAAAGACTGGTGTTACAGGTCGATTTGAGATATCATGGTCACATTTGGTAGCATAGACATGTTCAAGCACAACCCAGCTGGATCCCGCTTAGAATGCGACCTGCGCAGCTATTTTGCTTTCCTTGTTCTTATTCTTTCTTTTTGACAACTCCCCCTTTTGTCCCATGCCCTTTTCTCTTTCTATTTCATACACAGACTGGATGTTGATATTACCCGAGGGATGGCAACGTCACTCGGGGCAAACCTGGCGTTGCACGGAATGGTAATGAATGGGATCTTACAGTGCCGTAAGGCCACGTTACGAGTTTCGGGGCTTGGATTTTACACGACTGCAAAAGGCGCGGAGGTACAGGTCAGGACAGGGTAGTGAGGAAGAGCGAAAACCTGTCGTGGGGTTAAAAGACATGATGTATGCATTTCAAGGAATACATTTAAAAAAATTGTTCTGTGATGAGAAGATTTTGGCATGTGTTTTGAACTTTTTGCATGTCTGCCCGTTGTTCAAAGTGCTCACTCACCCTGCGGACCTTTTGGGCCCTGTCAATGCTCATCTGCGTGAACCATGTAGGGCCTCAGCTGAGCAGCTGTACATTTCAGAGTACGTAAGCGGCTCAGACCAACTGGATCAAGGTGAAGCGGCACCAAGCATCTGAGGCGAATACAGCAACATGTAGTAACTCGACCTAATTGCCCGTCCCGAGAAACGGCCTCCGATGCCCGATGAACCAAGGAGGGCGGGTGGAGGACAAGCAACGGCAATACTTGGCCACCGACACAAGGCCAAGCTAGTGCATACGTTCCGTCTCTTGGGCCTGGGTCCCTCATTTTGGGGTCCAGCAAAGGGTCCGCAAAGGGCGTGCCAAACAGGACACGGGGGGCGGTGCCATCCTCGCCGGGTGCCAGGTGCTCCAATGTTCTGGCCTGAAGGGGAACGATCGACGGCCCACGGCTGCAGAAGCACAGTCCGTCGCTTCAAATGTTACTGCCAAGATCAAAGAGATCAGCCGGTACGGAGTGCTTCGAGTACGGAGCGCATTGGCCACGGGCCATTTGACTTGTCGACCGCGGGCCCGTAGCGTTCCGACAAGCTGAGCCTGCTGAGGCCGTCGAGATGGGTCGGCCGGCGGCGGTAACCATCTGATATCAACGTTGGTAGATAAGTATCAAGATTCGCGGTGCCTGAATTCCCACGGCCGTTACAAATGTCTGGTTTTTCGCTTGCTTGTGCATGGGAGCTGCGTCGTCGTCATCATGTCTAGTGTCTGACGCGCGCACCAGCCTCGGCGCCTCCCTGTCGTCTGCTTCTCGCGAGTTCTCGGTCATCCAACGAGTTCCGTCTCACTCTGGACCAATTCGAGTCGATCCAGCAGTCTCCCTGCCCGTCGCTCCACAAGTCGAAATCAGGGTCCGCCTCCAAGTCCGCCAAGTGTTATTATTAACTCGAGTTGGCAACCCGGGGTACTTGGACAGTTCCTTAGCGTCTCGGGGCTGCGTCTCGGGGCTGCGTCTCGGGTCTGCTTCGTACCTTTTCCTTCGCTTGAGCGTGGGTGGGTGGCTTGCCCGACGAGTAGATTTCTTCGAGGGAAGCCAGCCAGCCATTGCATAACCTCACGACGTTTCTGTGCAACATTTTAACTACACTTTGACGCACGTGGGCCGGTCTCCTCATTCCTGAACAGGTAAGCAAGCAGCTGCTGGCTTGCACCTTCCTTGTCTTACCGGCTGCCAAACCCCAAATCCCAAGGCGCTCGTTGTACTTTTGGCAAGTACGACCCGACCGGAATGCGCAGTTTTGTTTGACTCGACATCCGCCAGATTCCGAGCCTCTGCCTTGAGCCTCGAGCCGACGTGCGCGCGGCAATATCTCGTCCTGTGCCGCAGGGAGAACCCCATCCGCCATCTCGCCGTCGTCAACAACCTTTGTTATTTAGCACCGCTGTCTTTATTCCCTTGGCAATTTCTTCGTCGGCCCACAACGGTCAGCACACGTCGCAGGGGACCTTGCAGCCATGCCATCGCGTGGTCCTCCGTCTCCTCCCCGTCACCAACACGGGACAAAACGGCAAAGGCAGTCCTCCTGCGACGGCGCATCACCGGGTGAGTCAGCCGAAGCCGCCGCCGCCGCCTGTGCTACTTCGGCAAAGGGCGGTCAAAGCAGTAATTTCCGCAACGTGAGCGCCTGCAACCGGTGCCGGCTGCGCAAGAATCGATGCGACCAGGAATTACCCAGCTGCGCGAGCTGTGCCAAGGTCGGTGTCGCCTGCGTTGGTTACGACCCGATTACCAAGAAGGAGATTCCCAGAAGGTACGGATGCGAGTTGTCCTCCCGGACCGCTGCCGTTATGCCCAAGCAACTTACCCAGGCGTCTTGGCAGTCCGGCTTGACAGAGCTTGGAATGTCGGGCCTTGGAGCTTCAGGCCATTTTTTCTCGCCGGCGAATGCTAACCTGCACCGTCGTAGCTATGTCTTCTACTTGGAAACTCGAGTGGAGCAGCTCGAGAAGCTGCTCACCGCCAACAGCATCTCTTTCCCGCGGGCAGAGAATCTCGAGCTGTGTTCGCGGCCCTCGGCTGATACTGCGGGCACCCTTTCTGCAGTGAATTGCGGCTACTCACCCCAGTCCGAGTGCGGTGGCCGCGCACATCCCAGACGACATCAGGCGTTGGAGGCGCTCAAGGCAAAGAAGGCCCCTCAGAGCCCGGCATTGGCCAGCATTATCAGCCCGCCCAAGGCTAGATCTCTTGCCTCTGCATCTGGTGTGTCCTTTGCGCGCGTCGTCTTTGCCGCAGTTCAATATTCCGTATCCGAGCAGACAGGCTCCACGGAGCGCAGTGCGGGCCGCAAGCAAAGCGTCAGCGGTGCCTCTGCCTCCATGAGAGATTCATTCTTCGGCCTTCATACTCGGCCTACAATCCAGCCGGCACCTTTTCCCGAGAGGGAGGAGGGCATGCGTTTGGCTACGCTGTACTTTGAGCATGCCAATCCTCAAATTCCCGTCCTCCATCGGGTAGAATTCATGCAGACGCTTGAAAAAGCCTACAAGGACGCCTCAGAGTCAAAGAGTCCCACTGCCCGAGAGTTGTACATGCTTAACATGGTGTTTGCCATCGGATCTGGCGTTATTCTTGGGGAGCCGTTGAGGGCGTGTGCGTCGGATAATCCCAGATTGTCACTTGACCACGCAAAAAGCTCCTGCCAACCAGAGGAGTATCATGCTAGTGCCGTTGTGCATCTGGAGGAATGCCTGAGCACGAGTGGTGGCTACTTGGAGGTCCTTCAGGCTGTACTGCTGCTTGCCAATTTCGCGCTACTCCGACCCGTGCCACCAGGGCTATGGTATGAATGACTGCTTCTGCCTCTTCCAAATAAAACAGGGTTGACTAAACGCCTCCTTGTCGGCGTTTTGGCTAATCTTCTCCTGCAGGTACATCACCGGTGTGGCTGTACGACTGGCTGTGGATCTCGGTCTTCACCATGAGGACGGAGGAGATGTCGAGTCACCCCCATCTGAGCCGACCGCCGATATGGACGCTGCTCAGCCTGCCGAGACTCGCGAGGGCAGTGCTCAAGATCGCGGCAGACGACACTGGTTTCGTGACTTGCGACGACGGCTGTGGTGGTGCACATATACGTTTGATCGACTAGTCAGCACATGCGTTGGTCGACCATTCGGTGTAAGTGACGAAATCATCACCACCGAGCTGCCCTCGCTACTTGATGACGAATTCATCACCCGTCATGGGTTCCAGGAACCCCCAGAAGGCGATGACCAACCCAGCTACAAGCACGTTGCGCACCATTACTTTCGTTTACGACTCCTTCAGTCCGAGATTCTGCAGGTCCTGCAGCACAACCAGGCACAAATGGCACGAGCATCAAATGGCAGCCATGGAAAAGTGTACCCAGAAATGCGCTCTCATCTGCCCTCGCCCTTTCTCGTACAGTTTGACTCATTCCGATCATGGCGCGCGGACATTGACAGAAGATTATACCTGTGGAAGACTTCTGCACCGACGAGACGAGAAACCGGCGTGGCATTCTCAACCGAGTTCCTCGAACTCAACTATTGGCAGGCAATCATCCTGCTCTACAGACAGAGCTTAAGCGTGCCAGCCATGTTTGAGGGAGAGTACAACACGTCCGACGAGGTCAACAGCCCGACAGCTTTTACTGCCGAACTGTGTGAGGACGAGGACCGGATTTATCTCAAAGTTGCAGAGGCTGGACAAAGGACTCTACGCATTTACCGACAGCTTCATCTCAGCGGATTGGTCAGCTATACCTACTTATCAACTCATCATCTATTCATGGCTGGCATTTCGTACTTGTATGCCATTTGGCACTCACCGCTAGTACGAAGCCGCTTGGTACGTGTGATTGACAGATGGTTTGAACAAGGCCCCTCTTTACACTCGCCAGACTGACAACAAGACAGACCATGGACGAAGTCGACTTCACCGTCCTGGCAGCTAAATCCGTCTTTTCTGACATGATTGACAAGTGCCCACCGGCTGAGACATGTCGGGATGCCTTTGATCGAACAGCCAAAGCAACAATCAAGATGGCTAGCTCGAGTGGTGGATTCGGCATGCCGCTCCCACAGCCGCGGCGACAGCTGCCGTGGACAGGGGTTCCGGACGGGTCGTCGATGAAGCCTCCGACCCGCGCCCGTCGCCATTGCCAGTCAGAGGCCGCGACGTTGCAGTTCGACATGGGGTTGTCAGACGGCTTGTCGTCTCTATCGTCTCCGAGCATGTCAACGACTGGAGACGTGGCGGCCCAGCATACCCCCCCCCTCCTCGGAAAGACGGAGCCCTATGACATGGATACGTTTATGAGCTGTCACGGCGCGGCTCGCAGTGGCCCGAGCCCTGGCGGCGACGCAACGAGCCAGGATGACGGGTCGTCGATCGACCCGCGTCTGGTGCCATCGCCTCCCATGGGACGACGTGGTGATGCGCCGAATGGCCCGTGCGGCGGTTCCTTTGCAGGCCAGCAATTCGGCCTGCAAGGGCCGTTGGACTACCCCGACGGGCAGACCATGGAGTTTTTGAACAACATTGGTGCGAGCCCGAGCGGTGACCTGAGCGGCATCGACCAGGCACATATCGACCTGGGCTTTGGAATGAACTGGGATGTCATGCATAGCGAATACGGGGAAGGGCAGCAAATCAATCCTTTTGATACCTTTTTCTTCGGTGGCCAACAGGGCAGCGGGGGTGGCGGCGACAGCAACAGCAACAACAGTAATAATAATAATAATAAAATCAACAATGAAAGGAACACCGGAGACGGCAGCAACTCGGCAACAACGCCAACAACGCCACCAATCAATGGCACGTTGAAGGACCACAAGCTTTGAAGGAGAAGGGACTGGGTCAGAAAAAGGGGGGGAAGAAGAATGTTGAGCCACGGGTGTTTGATGACTGTCTTCTTCTTCAGCACATGGATTTTCCAGGGGGGGCTCCTCCGCGACAAAGCTGACTCTACTTTGGCATATACCCCCGTGAAATAGGATGGTTGGTTTTGTAAATGGGTTCTTCTGACAAACGTCATGGGTAGATGGCTCGGAAAAGATGGCGAGTATTGCATATCAAGGCGTTGGCGTGGCGTGGGGTTGCATTCGGTCCAGCTGACGAATTCGTCGTATGTAGAATGAGGATGAGGACGAGACGGAGGACAGTGGAGTGTGTAAGGCGAAAGAGGTGTCTCCGAGCGCCCGGCGGCGAGAAGCTAGGTACGCAGGTCCACGACATATGCATACTTAAGTACCCAAGCACACAGGGGCGGGCACACGAGCACAGGCACACGCGGCCGGCCTAGACGTCCCTCGTGGCTCTGCGCTGGTCGCCACTCCTCCGCCGGCTGCTGCGGCGGCTGCTCCTCCGGGCGGTGGTGTCGCGCCTGCTGCTGCCCCTCGACGGCTCGTGCTCCTCGATGACGACCACCTCGTCTCGGCCGTCGTCGTCGTTGTCGAAGCCGCCCCCGACGACGCTCGGCGGAGATGCCCGTGGCGGCGGCGGGTGGTGCGGCGGAACCGAGCCGGGCGCCGACCGCGGAGGCACGGCGTGCGGGAGCGGGAGCGGCGCGGGCGCGAGGGGCGGCGGCGCTCCCTCTCCCGGGGGCGGAAGCTCGGCACGCTCGACGACGGCGACAGGTGGCGCGTCGTCGTGGTCCTCGTGGTCCTCGTCGTGGCCGTCAGCTCGACGGCCGGCCCGCACCCCAGCGCCGAGTACACGAGGAACAGGAGCAGCAGGGCGCCGGCGATGGAGCCCAGGACGATGGCGACCACGACGCCCGGCGGCGGCGACGAGTCGAGGTCGCCGTAGGCCTGGGGGATCGAGGCCGCGGGCGGGTTCTGGCGCGCGTGCAGGCGCGGCGTCGGCAGGTGCATCTTTGCGCGGCTGGCGGTGCGGGTGTCGTGATGCCGCGCGACGGGCGAGGTCGAGAGTTGGCCCGTCGTCGCAGGGAACCCGGAGAGCGAGGCGCCCTTTTTCTAGAGGTGACAGAGGGAGAGAGACAAAGGCGAGGCTGTCGTGCCGGTGAGTCGGCGCGGGCGCTTTGTTTGTTTGACGTTTGACGTGGGTTGGGATGCGATGGGACGAGAGCTGGCGATGGCCGGCGCCCGGGTGCAGCTGCGCTCCGTGCGCAATTACTTGGATGCCGTGCCTGCCGCCCTCTGCCTCTGCCTCTGCCTCTGCTCTGGGATCGAGGCCCGTCGCTGCCTGGCCCGAGGTGGTGGTTTCATTTCCCGTCTTTTCGTCCGTCGTCGCACCGCCAGCCTCGACTTCGCTGCTGCCTGATGTCCCCGGCTCCCGACTGCGCCCCGTTCGCCGCAAGGTCTATAGACTGCTTCAACGTGCGGCCTGCACACCGGACAGTGCCCGACCTCGAGTCCTCGCACCGGGTGGCTATAGATTAGCTGGGAGATCGTCAGACTGAAGTGCAACTTCAATCCTGCGGATGCCTATCTGAAGGTCGTGTGTTCGAGTCACACTAGCCACATATTTTTTTGGCCTTGCCCTCCCTTTTCCCCTCTATTATCCGCGCCTTTTTTCCCTCTCCTCCCTCTCCTCGTCTCTACTGTCATTCCCAGGGCAGCATCGCTCGTGGCCACCAACTTGATCTCGTGCTTGCTTCGTCGCATCAAACATGGATCAGAACACAAACGCCCGGCACACCACGGCTTCCGCGGTGCCATGAAACCACGACAGCTGACAACAGTGCCCAAGTCTACCGTTGCTCGGTCCACGGAACAGGACAGAGGGCGCCCCTGACAGGAGAGATGTGCTCGACCTGCATCGCCGCCGTCGCGTCCTGGCGAGAAACTCACGGCCTTCCATGGGCTATTTTGATTCATCATCAGAGTCTTTACGGCTAATCTGCCCAAGAGGGTTTCGCGACCAAGCCATACACACACAACTCCCGCTGTCACAATATTTGGCCCAATCCCATGCTCGTCAAAAACGCCATCAAGCTGACAGTCCTTTCTGCCCCGGACTGCTGGACCGGGGGGGTGATCCGGTACTGGTCACCGTCACTTCCCATCACGAGATACAGCTCTCCCGAAGAGTCGCTGGTCATGAAGAGTCTCTTTCCTTCCTTGTCAAACGCCAACCCAACAGGTCGGAAGCACTGCCCGGGGCATTCCGAGTTGTCCTTGTTCCACATCAGTTCCTGCTCAGCAGTGGTGCTGCTCGTTTCGGCTTTGGGATACCCTTGAGAAAACGTTACGCGGCTGAGGCGGTAGCCATTCGGAGGCTTGAGGTTCCTGTCATGCTCTACGGGTCAGCAGCGTCCACTCCGTCGTCCCTCTGGTGATTGGATTGCGCGACGTGTTCCGTGAGACTCACCAGCTTCCGTGGAAGGAAATCAGCGCTGCCGAGCCCTGGGCATTGAATGTGATGTCAAGCGGCGCAAGGTGAGATGCAAAGCTGAGGTGCGGAGACAGTGTGTTCTCCTGGCACCACTGGTCCGTGTAGTTGCTGGGCATTTGATCTCCCACCATTTGCAGGCCAGTCCTGGCTCCGCCTGGGTAGCTGTCGACGTTGGAGGTGTCAAAGATGGCCACGCAGGCCGGATAGCCAAAGTTCTTGCCGTACACCGGGCTGGCGGTGTCATTCGGCAGTCCATGAAAGTTGAGCTCTTCTCCAGGGTTCGAGGTATGAATGTCGACGCCCTTGCGCTGCATATTGTCGATGGAATTTTCAACCGACCACTGGTGCCGAATCAACGTCAATGTGAAGTTTTGTTGGAGCGGCACAACTCATCCACTTACGACATATCCCGTCGTAGGATCTTCAGCAACACCCACGCTGTTTCTGAGCCCCCATCCGAGCACCTCGCCGTCGGAATACTTGACTGGGCCATCAGCCTGGAGAAGATGATCAATCGTGAAGATGCGAATCTGGCTTCTGGCCGACCCCATTTCCGCCGTATCCCTATCGATGTTCCCGTCAGATCCCCTAGACACGAGCAGCAAATCGGAGTTGTGCCTCGGAATCAAGAGCGTTCGTGTAGCGTGACCGCCCTGATCCATGCCGGTTATGACATTCCTAGCCTTTCCCACCGTTCCCTTCTCCACGTCGTAATCGTAGGCATAAACATCGGTGGACGATGAAGCAAAGAGCGTCTTGCAATCAGGCGCGAGTTCAATGCCGTGATTCAGCTTCGCAGTCACGCGTTAGGCCTCTTCTTCTCCCCTTTCCCCCCACCCAATGAATTTCGACAGCCGGAAAAAAACCGCAAGCACTCACAGTCTCGTCGTCAACAAGGGATGAAGACTTGGCGATGCAAGTGTCCAGTCCCTTGCCGTCGTCCAGCTCGATGCGCCTGACGCCCTTTCCTCCGGCCTCGACCACCAGCAGATTGCCTCTGCAATCAGCAATGACGCCCCGCGGCTTGACCAAATCGTTGGCCAGGACCTTGAACTCGACGCCCGGCGCCGTCTGCGGATCCGACGCCGGCTGTAGGGACCGACATTGCGCAGCAGGTGTCGTCTCGGTATACAGCGCCGCGATGAGAAACAGGTACAAACGAGCCATGGCTTGCGGATTCTCGAACCGTGTAGCACGGTCCACGGGATGAGAGGGCCAAAATCTACAACGCGGCGGGATGAAGGGGGCCTGCGAGTCTTGCTGCAGTAATAGGTAGGTCCGTCCGTCTGTCTGTCTCTCTGTCCAGCCAGCCTCGGCTGATGTGCGTCATTGACGGACTCAGCCACCTGGAAAATCGCCGCCGTCAAAGGCTCACCAAGCTTGGCGCTTGCCAATTGCTCCCCAAACCCAAACCGAGCCACGGTGCCACGGTGCACGTCCGCTGATCCTGGCGGTTGTGGCTTGTGGTCCAATGGGAGGAGCTCAGTGCCCGCCAGGGAGGGATGCGAAGAAGGGGGGAGTCGGCGTCGGATATTCCCGAGCTGGCGTGTCGTGTCGTCTCGTCTCGTCTCGTGTCGTCTCGTCTCGTGTCGTCTCGTATCGTCCATCCAAGAGGAGAGAAGAGAAATAAATGGCAGTGTCGGTCCGAGGCCGTTGTGCGACGTCCCGAGGACGTGGCATCTTGTTGTTCGTCAAAGTGCGGCGTAAACGGGCGTCGTCCTTGGCGAGAAAGAGCTCGGCTTTTCACGTCGGTGGCCAACCTCATCTGTCAAGCGAGGCCAGGCTTGAAACGTCGAGTGCTCCATGCAGCCTACGCGCACCCATCATGAGTTGAAGTGTCTGTGCAGAATCCATCATTCGGCGCCGTCATGAATTCCTTTTTCCGCCGCACGATGCGACGCGTCTCCAGAGTATGATTGATCCCCTCCCGCACCACCACACGCAACAAGTCCACGCTTAAGACGCTCGACACGAGGTCCATGGTACGATTGGTCTGTCCCTCATGGTTTTGGGAATCGTATGCTACCATTCCATCCTTTGCGGCCAAACAAAATCTGCCCACCCGTCTACGTACGACTCATGAATTGAATTCTCCCATCTTCTGAGGCTTGTTGTTACATTCCGGTCGCTGTTGTGACGGGAAATCCCGACCGACCAAGAAAAGAAAGAAACCAAAGCACACACGTCCGTCCACACGGCTGGCTGCTTCCTTGCCAGTACCTACTTTCAACATTTCACCTGCACCAACAAGCGTCGCATTCGTAAGCCACATCCAATTCAAACATGCTGCAAAAAACAGGCCTTCTCCACATGCCTAAATACATCAATGAGTGTCTAAATTGCTTCATTCGTTACACGTAGTCGGACGGAAAATAAGGAAAAGCAAAAGTCACGGTGAGTGTCGTCGGGTTCTTCGCGGCGAATCCAAGTCCAGGCGCGTTCCGTTTCGACGAGGCGCTTTAGGAAATGTACGTTCTATGTCGGGCATGATACAGTGTAAAAAGACACGGTTGTAGAAAGAAAGGAAAGTCGAGTCCATCCTGCGCTCTCGACAGCCATGATAGTTGTACCCATATGACAAACAATGCTCGAAAAAAATGAAATGATATGCCGAGTGACAATTACAAAATGGCATCATGGCGTAGCACAGGCCTCAGGTCCTTATTTGCATCTTTTGCGGAATAGGAGGCAGTGCCCGAGTTGGTGGAGGAGCTGGCGGAGGGCCACTGACAGCTATCTGCGACATACTCCTGCGGATCAAGGCTGAGCTTCTCGGCGTCGTTTCAACATTCAGATAATGGCCATTTGTTGGTTGAGATGCTGACGTAACAGTAGCAAATGAATCAGACGAGTGATTACTCGACACTGTTGAGTCATGGACTTCATATGAGCGCGACGACCAAACCGAGCACATACTAGCTCTCTTTGCAGCACGAGACGGTTCCAACGACTGACTCCTCATGCTGTCGGCCGTGTTCTCACCGTTGTTCAGGAACGAACTTCGCTGCCCTCGTGGCGGTCCATCCATGACTGGAGCAGTTAATACCACCATGGACGCGATATGGGGTCGTCTGTTTTTCAACATCGTTGCTTGTGGCTCTGGTGATGGCATCCCTTGTCGGGGGGCACCGGAGCCAGCATCGTCGTCGTCGGCACGCCTGCCAGCTCTACCCCGAGAGACTGATCGCAGTCGCTGTTGGCCAGCGTCCAACGTTGGTAGCGGAGTGGGTGTTGGGGAAGTCGGTAGCCGCTCTGTGGCCATGGTTCGTGTCACGACCTTGTCAGTCACCACCGACAAGCGGTGGGCCGGCAGCATCGCCGTCGGCGGTATTCGGCCAAACCCTCCGTGTGATGTGTCACGGTCTCGTCTACGGCCTGGAGAGTCGTCCGTACTACCCGCCACGCCCCTTGCATATGAAAAACGGCGACTAGACGAGCGCGGCACACTGAAGTTGGGAGTGGGCTTAACGCCGACGTGGGAAGTTGGCTGGCCAGGATGTAGTGCGGTGAAACATGTTGGCACAGAGCCCATCTTTCCCTTGAGGGCCAGACTACCGTCAACGAAAGGAGTGGTAGCTTGCACCGACTCTCTTCTCGTGACAATCTCCGACGCATTCGGCCTCGTCCTGACTTCTGCTCTTCTAGAAGATTCATGTTGCGGAAAAATCCCCTCCTCGAATTTATCGTGCGTAGGAGAGCCGTCTGGCGAAGAGACACTCGATGTGACAAAAGTCCGTTGCCCACAGGAGATCACGGACAGACGATTTGAATTCTCCCGAAGACTTTCCAGCTGGCGTTCATCTTGAGACATTATGCTGTTTGTTGTGGAGATGTCATCCAGGGACCGGTGGTGAGCTGCGTCGGTGCCAGTTTGTCGCGTGAAAGCTTCGCTATTTTTCGTCTCTCTTGGTGGTGACACGATGGATTGGCTAGCCCTACTCTCACAGTTCCCGAATTGGGATAGATCTCGTACGATGAGGGTGCGCTGGCCGACGTGTTCCCTCAGTGTTGGATCGGCACCAGCAGGCTTGGGTTTTCCCGTCTCTGATAGTTTCCGTCTGCCACCTTGCTTCTCAATTGCGTTTCGCAGAACAGCCATCCAGCCTTCCATATCCTCTGCATTGTCAAAAACCATGAGTAGATTGGACGCGCTGCGGCGTTCAGCAAGGCGGAATGAAAGTTTTGAGAATAGGGACCGGCCCTCCAACCCTTGATGTTCATCGACATCTGCCACCGACGATACCTGGATGACCCAATGGCGGCCTGGAATCGCATCTGTGGCGAATGCCGCGCTCGAGGGACCTAGACGAAGTATCTTCTCCGGCAAGCGGTCATAAGTTCCCGTTGAAGCGTATTGCAAAAGATATCCAGATGTCACCAAAACGTAGATTTTAGTTGTCCACTCAAAATTCGTCGCAGGCGCATGCAGATTCCGTTTATTATTCTTCTTTTTGACTTTCTCCATGTCTGCTTCAGGATGGTCGTATCCAGCTCCATCTGCCCTATCGCCCTCCTCCTTTGTCTGGAAAATGCTTTTTTTCTCATTCATTCTTAAGATGACGTCTGCAGAGATGGTCGCCGCTGGTAAATTAGCATGGCGAACGGCCTGGGGGAAAGCCTTGAATAACGGGGGCAACGACCAGCTCGCGCTTGAGTCGTCAGGCTGCCTACCAGCCCGTGGGTTGGCCCTCGTTTTCGTCGCTGGTGGTGCAGTGTGGTGCGATAATTGCTCGGCATTGGGGTCCTCAGCCGTGGCTGGAAGCGGCTTCCATGAGAAGTTCGTTGGTAGACGGGTTTCGTATGGGTAAACTTGTGGTGGTTGGTTTACTTCCGCCATTGACGTGCGAAAGCTCGTCTTCTTCGATATAACCGGCGCGATACTCGGCTCTTGATCATCTCTTGTAGACTTGGATCGCCCGAATATGCTCCTCAATCCCAGTTTCGACTCGCGACGGCCAAGTTTGTCCATTTTATCCACATTTTCTTGTCTGATTGGCACCCGATTCTCCAGCTCAGCCGCATACTCGACGCCTGGTCCCCGAGATCCCCGAAGACTATTACGCGGAACGCGCTGGGGATTGTCGAGCATCTGCTCATGTGTCATTGTATAGTGGCCGACGGAAAGTCCCGCCGATGCCAACAGTGGATTGATCTCGTATTGTCGATAGTTGCGAAGCAAATCTTCGCGTCGTTTTGGGGGTTCCAAGGGAGGAGCGAGCGCCTACCGGCCCATGCAAAAGGACCCGACGTAGGTATTCTAGCTGTCTGGCTGCGGGTGATGTGCTTTGACTGAGATACGGTGACGAAATCAAGACAAAGGGGCCTAAAGTAACAGGTGTTATCAACGATGGCGGACGTCTTTCTTTCTGTCACGAGCTATGATCATCCGGAGATTGTGAGAGAGTCGATAGAAAAAGACGAAGGGTGGGGATGACGTGGTATCCGATTGTTTGGGTTGTGGTGATGGTAGGCTTTGTTATTGTAACAATTGTTCCGAGATTAGTACTTGTCTTGGATCATGGTTCGCTCTTCTTGAACACAAGGAGAGTGGCCTGATGTATGATTCGCCGGGGTCGAAGTCGTTGATGCGAGGGAGCTAAAAGAGAAGAGAAGGAAATGAATGAAAGCAGGGGGAGGACAGACAAGACAAGAACCAAACTGAAGGAGGTCGTGTCGTTGGATCCTTGAAACGGATACAGGATGTAGCAACAGCTAGTAGAGAGGACAGAGGAAACGAGAATGTCACTGGTAGGAAAAACAATTAAGAGGGTAATATGGACTTGTTCCCCTCCAGCTCAAACTGGCCCATACGGAGTACTACTGCTGCGCCGGCTGCCCATCCTTGTACTCCGTACTCCGTACTACCTGGTAAGTTATTGTAATACTTGCCGGATCAGACAGTCGAGCGAAGCCGGTGGACCCCAGAGGTCCCAGAGGTCCCCAGAAGTTGAGAAGCGGCCCCGTGGCGGGGGCTCGTGGCGTTTTCCTAGTGCAGCCATACATGTGAGAGGCGGCAGAACGGAGTACTAGTGCCAACACAAACTTTGACAATCTGCCGTTGGCCAACTTTGGAGTGCGCATGGCCGCATCGCTTGGAGTCGGGGAGTCGCCTCCCCTGTACGCCGTACCAGAGGACTTTCGACAGTGCAAATGCAATCCTCTGAAAGGCTGCGTCAGGGACTTAGTGGGTCAGACAGTAACCAGGGGAAGACGACTTGGCACCCCTGAAGCAAGACCAAAAACGGCCTCCCAGCTGGACTGTGCTTGATCGAGTACGTACGTACCGGCATGCTGCGCCGACGCTGGACCATGGTGCGGGCTATCACACCACGCGTGGTTGACCTTTTCCACGTCGGACTGGTATGCATGCATTTGTGCATATCCGCCTGTTGGTCCGAGTCTGAGCATACATGAACACGCTCGTGAGTGTGACCAGCGATTTCCCAGGGCCATGTTGAACCATTGTTGGATGCCGTCGGAAACCCTGTCAGCGCACTTGAACTGCAGCCAAATACGACCGAGTAGTTCGGATGCGGAAGACCAACGGTGATTCAGCAATCAGCAGCTAGCCGTGATAAACATCTGATAGTCCCTGTCTGTACGGAGTAGCATGCGGAGCTACGGTGTTCCCGTCCCGTGCAGAGGATGCGTGGCGGGATACTCAGTACCGCGTGCGCTTCCGCGATTGGCCTTGCACTCAATTCCTCTCTCTATATTATCTGTCCGAATGGAGTATTTATACTTGATCATTCGTTGCGGTAATTTGGTTTTCGTTTTGACATGGCGCTCCTGATTGGTGACCGTCAGCAGACGGTGTCTTTGGCATTCAACAGTTGTTTCTTATTGCCTTGCATCACTCACCTACACAGATAGGCAGGGGGGATCAAAAACAAGTGCGTACTCTGTACGGAGTACTGCAGGGACAAAATGCTGTAGTGGACATGCCCGCGTCCAGGGTGGTTGGTGGTTGTAATTTCAGTCGAAAAACACTGACAAATGACTCCACGAGGCCGCCGGTTGCGCCACCGCCTGTTGACCACGCGAGCTAGACGGGAGGACGACGCCACTGGGACCTCCATCGGACTGGCCGCCACTCGTTCCGCGAGTAACGGCCTGTTCACGGTCGAGACGGCGGACGGAGGAGTCAGCGGAAACGTGACGATTTCACAGCGAGGTGGCTGCAAGCAACCATGCCAACAGGACCTTGTGCACGACATGTCCGTCCATACAGAGAGGGCCGAGTACGAAGCAGCTTGCATGCTGTGGTTGATGCTCGTCCAGGCCGGGAGGTGTGGTGTAAATACTGACGAAGTGTGAAGCATCAGGCAGACGACACAGGCACTCGAGGACTGTTGCAGTGCTGGCTGGGGAGGCAGGAGCGACCACGTCTCGCTGCCAATGGCAATGGCGGACTTGCCAAAAGTAACGCTCGGCTCTGCCCCGCACGTGTCGACCGCACTAGTTCTGACTGCTATCTGGGGGTGCGGCTCTCATGCCGAGACATTACAATTTCTGGCTGGAGCTGGAGCTCAGCCTTATCCTTATGTCTGTACGAAAGTACGGAGTAAATGCCCACATGCTTGGTGATCCTCTCGCAGGTTACTCGCTCTTTTTTTTTTTTGGCCCTCGACACTGGCAATTGGGATTTCCCGTTGCTCCCAGAACTGAGTCGTCGTCACCGGCATCGCGGATTCATCACGGATTCATCGCCCCATATCCCGCGGCCACCTCTCCGGGTTTCTGCCATACCATGTTATCTCAGTCAACCTTGCTAGCGTCAAGTCACTGAGCCTGCATCGATCCACAGCCTGCCGATGTTGGTCATGTTGACCTGGGATGGTAGTGAGTGGTACGTAGCACACAAACTACCAAGTACGCGTCCCATCCACACCCCAGTCGGCATTCCAACGGGAAGGGCGAGGGTGAGCATCCCAGCCTCTTCGGACAGGATCACGTTGCTCAAGTCGGAATAGCAGGCGATATACAAAGTACTAGTTACTGGACCCTGACGATTTGCCTCGACGTCCCCACCGCTCATCCGCTTGCGCCATAGTAGTTAACGTTATCTACCGGCGGGCAGAGTTGGTACCACAATTGTCGTGCCTCGTTGTGGCGGCAAGCATCGTCGCTAGTAAATTGTGGCCCTCTCCACCCAAAATTTTTCAAGCAAAACTGAATCGCATCTCACAGTTGATTGACACGTCGACAGATGGCAGCGAGGAGCCGGCCGCGCAATGTGCAGTCGCTACCTGTGATCAGACCCCTTGCATCCCTGTTGACAGATTCTACTCGACTTCCAGGCTTACTTACATGGGCACGTCTCAGACAGAAAAGCAAAGAAGAGAAAAGAAAAAAGAGCAGACGGATCACGACAGTCAGCTGTTGTTGACTCCTGTCTAGTTGCGGCCTGACCATGCTCGGGACGGGGCACGGAGGATGTGGGTTGTCACTACACAGTACTCCGTAGTTACTTGGTCGTGGCCGTCGATAGTACTACTACGTGGTATGACCAACGTTGAGCCTCGAGAAATATTATTCCACGCGGGCCGTCTTCTTGGTTCGTCTTCAACGTCAGCTGACCGCTTGTCTGATGCAAGACGGCGACGTGTCGCCATGCAGCTCCATCATGACACGCATAGGAGGTATGTAGTACAAAAAAAAAAAAAAAAAAAAA